ACTCATGAACCGTGAGATCATGACCTGAGCCAAAGTCGGGCACTTAATGGACTGAGCCACCAAGAGATGCCCCCAATATTCTTTCAAGCTAAGGGAATGGCCCAAGCTAAGGGAATGGCAGTTTCATGGGCCCCTTCTTCATCTCCTGTTTAGATATGCATGATAGAGTGCCTCTCCCCAAACTGGCAGGACAGCTTCCGGACTTTACAGCAAAGCTGGGCCCCAGTGAAGCCTCCAAAGGGCAGGATTGGACGGCCTCCAGAGAAGGGCCAGGTCCTCTCTTCTCAGTCCTTGACTTCTCACCCTGCTTTCCATGGCCTGTTTTTAAAAGTTGTTTCATGTAAGAATGCACTGCCTAAGGTTACACAGTGAGAGTAACGTCTGCAGACTCTGAATCAGTCCTACATCATATAGTTGAGGATAGGGAATCCAGAACTTGGCATCAGAAGACTTGGCTTCAAGTTCTAGTTACCCTGATAAACCGTGCTTGTGTCATAAGCTTTCAGTCTGTTTTCTGTTTATATCTCTCTCAAAGGACTGCAGGGATTAAATGAGGCAATGTACTAAAAGCACCTTAGGAATTGTTACAGTACAAAGGTGTTTTCCCTAAATGTTCTTGATATGGTCACCTGCTACAACAGATTACTGTGGCCCATCTGGCACAAAAGATATAAAAGCCTGTACTTCTGGCTGGACAGGGCTAGTTAGGGAAGAGACCTTAGCTACCAGCTGGCACAATTTCCAGGTGAGGGGGTCCCGAAGCCTGGTTCACGTTCCTCCTGGAGCCAAAGGCTGATTTCAATTACTTTCCAGTTCATCGGCAGACGTAATACTAATAACATGTTTAGGAGAACTCAGACTAGCAATTAAAAAACTCCAGCTCTCTGAGGCTCCTTCCTGCCTCCAGGCCTTCCACATGTCCTGTTTGTCAGAATTCTCACCCTGCCCCTCTCTGAGCTACCTCTTCATCCGACAAACCTCACCTCAATGCCACTTCTTTGGTATGGAAACCTTCCTTGACCCTCCAGAAAAGAAAAGGTTTCATTCCAGACAAGAAGTTCACAAAGCAACTTCTAACTCTCCTTAGTACATTACACTTAGTCCATTGTGATTATTACTATGGAAGTCCTTTCCCATGTGAATATAAGCTGTGGGAAGGCAGGGTTCATGTCTGTCTGGATTCTTCCACATCTTAGTACCTTGGATAAAGACAATAAAATATGTTAAATGAGGCCAGAGTTTTGGGTTTCCTTAATCTTGCTAAGAGCTCTTGTGGCAATGAAAATAAAATATATAAAGAAAACTAATTTAGGGCTGGCAGGCAAGGTTCTGGATAGAGGAATACTTCCTTTGGCAGTTTTTCTCCAATAAAAAGAATTTATGGGCTTAATTACATCATCAAGATCTTTTTCAGAGGTACAGGAATGGCCAAGGATCAAGCTTGCTCCGAATTATTCACTTTTTTCAAGTGGAGCTGCTCTCCTGGGAAGAGTAGTTCATGTCAAGGAGGAAATCAGCACAGTTTCTTTTGTAAATAGGCAACTGTCCTTTTATTTGCTTTGATTTTCAGGGCCCAGGAGACTATTTGGAGGTACAAACCTATCTTGCCAAACCATAAAGAAGATGAAGTTCTTCTATATCAACCTCACTCTTCCCTCAAGTGTTCCTATTTGTTTTTCTAATGGCCTTTCCACCCCTACATTAGCATAAATTTAAATCAACGTTCAGATTCATCTAAGAGATGTATCATTTCTACCTTACCCCAACTTCGAGAAGAAAGGTTTTCTTCTCCCAGAAGCATAACGGCAGAGAGCAGCCACCAAATCCGTGTGTATTTATACATAGGAATGTGTGTGGAATGCCTTCTAGAGTCACATTTGCTTACCCTCCTTACCCTGGCCTACGTAGCCAAGCATTGGTGGGTTTAAAACCAAGCGTTGGTGCTTTACAAACACATCAACAAGAGACAGGAGCTGCCTTTTACAAAGTGCAAAGACAAAATGAAGAGCCTCCTTAAGTAAGAGTCAACATCTCTGCAATCTGCATACTAATCATAAATGTCAGTATATAAAAAACAATGACCGAGAGAGCGAGAGCGAGACAGAGAGAGAGAGAGAGAGAGAGAGAGAGAGAGAGAGAGAGAGAGAGAGATGGTGTCTTGTAGCTATGGGGGGCTGCCCCGACTAGATCTCCTGGGTCCAGAAACAGCAGGGCCAGTGTGTTTAATCATCAAATGGCCAGAGCTAAAATTTCCTTATGGCCCACTCTCATGACTTTACTTTGACCTTTTCAGTTTTCAACTGGTTCATATCAGGGTGACTTCGAGGATAGTTGGCTTCAGGGATCCCTTCTTTTATGATCCTTTAATTACTCATTAGTCACTGGGGCTTTGGCAATTCCTGCAGGATGTAGGTTTCATTTCTTCCCTGTAAATGAAGAGGCAACCCAGGAGGTTGTTAAACAAGTTCTATTCAGTAGCTGGAAAAGTGAATTTCCTGTGGAATGACAGGAATTACATAGAAGCAAGCAATTTTATTTTCCTCAAATGTAGCAATAATTTTAATCTGTACATACATAAAACAAACAGTGCAATTATAAAACCTTGAAGGTGACATGCATACTTTCAGGTGCAGTTGGGATGGGAGGATGTTATTAGCATCTCCAATTTTCCTTACCGCTTTTAAAAACTAGTTCATTATGCAAAAGCACTGAGGCAGGAAACTTCATCTGGAATGCTGAAGTTAAAGGTGAACTTCCTGAAGTCTGCGCATCTAAATATCACAAACAAAACAGAAATGACCTCCTAGAGCAGTTTGGTAAGGACTAGAGTAATATGGCTGGGCGTTCAAGCTGGGAATGAATGAAATCAGGGATGCATTTTCTGAAAAACTAAAAGAGATAATGTTTGTAACTGAGTGTCCTATTTCTGTTTCATAGTTGCTACCCATGTAAGCCCTTCCAGCAATCTTTTTATTCCATATAGTTTCTGAGTAGATGCTGTCAATGGAGTTATTTGTAACTAGGGGTGGTGAGATGCAGAAAGGAGGACCTGGGAAAATGGCTTCTTCCTTGGTGTCTGAGTCCATGCTCCTCTTCCGCTGTTCGTTCTATGGTCTCTTCCCTGCTGTGGAAGCAGAGGTAGCTGGCGCACGATGTCAGATGCTGTCATCATTCACAGGCCCGGGGTGCAGGTAAAGGCGAGTGATGGGGGGATCTACCTTTGCTTCTTCCACAATACCTTTCTCAAGCTTTCCTGGCCTTGCAGTGGAACTTCTAGAACTAGAGGCAGTTCACTGGGTCCTTGACTCACAGGCCAGGATGAGACAAGACGTGGCAGAGTGACAAGACACAAAGGGAAAATACGGTACCAGTTAGCCTCAGAGTAGGATAGAGAAATTTGTATTTGCGCTGATGAAAATTCAAATCCCCAAAGTCAATCTAAAACAAATGAAGATTTTTTTGAGTACTGATTTTTCTCTGTACAAGTAGCCTGTGCACTTCTGGTGTTAATTCCTTGCACTGTCTCAAGTTAGATGATCCCAGGGACACTCTAGGGCAGTAGGCTCTAGCTCATCTGGAACAGCTCTTTCTGGCAGTGGCATTTTGATTTGAACCTCAAAGTAAATCCATACATGGCATCACAGTTATTAAAATAATGAAATCTTACTAGCCAAATGTAACTGCAATTCAATCAATGATATATTCACACACAAATTTAGAAAAATCAAGAGTATGATAATAAAACCATAAAATTAAACAGGAGGAAATCAATTTCTACAAGAAATCAAGTATATTTACAGTGAGATTTAAAGGGAAAAATAAGCTACTTGGATCATAAATTTAACTTTATTTTAAATAACTTTAGCTACCTTAGCTGTTAATACAATAAAAGCAGAAAGAACAGGCTGCCTTTTTTTTCCAGATTTAATCAGAAAATTGTTATCTACAATAATTGACAGAACTTGTTTCTTGTCCTTCACCCATCTCATCAAAAATTATTGCATTTTCCCCCAAACTGTATTTTTTGGATTCCTCTGTGAATATACTCATTTCGTCCTCATTCCTGGAGGCATCTTGGTTTAAATCCATCTTTAAAAAAAGGAGAAGGGGTACATATGGGAGGCAAAATATTCTCTTGAAGCCAACAGATATAGAGTTGCTAGAAGAAGCTGATTGTACACACAAGCTGCCTGGGGTCGGGAAGGGGAGGGCTGTTGATTCAGACACACGTGACAGCCTTTGGTGGACGGGCACAGGCAAAGCCCCACCGGGCCCTTGGGCCCTTCTTCCTCGTCAGGGTCAGGACTGAGCCAGCAGGGGCGGGGCTTCATCTTCCCCTTGGAACTCGTCGTTTTGGTTCTCCTCCAAAAGCCTTCATCCAGATAAGAAGCCAATGACTGATTACAAAAATAAGAATAATTAAATTTGGCTCAAGAAATAGATTGTCCAACTGTTCTGCCTTGTTATTTTTTTTTCAATATCCAAGGCCTTTACAAAGAAAGAAACAAAAACACCTCTCAATCTTCCAACAAAAGTGAATTCCTTTGTTGTTTTTTTTTGTTTTTTTGTGGGTTTTTTTTGCTCCAAATGCTACGACCTGAAGAATGGCTGCAGATTGAGATATCAAAAATCTCAGAAAAATATATAATATATTTGTATATCTCTGTATGTCTATTATTTAAATTTCACATTCCTTTAAAAGTGGTTATTCAGTCAGTAGCTGCTGAAGGAGGCTCTTCTGCTGGGCCTGGGGGGTCTGTGGTCCTGCCGTGGGTTTTTGAGTTCCCAGTGGACCAGGCTGGTTCAGGTAAGGGTCCCCGCCTACCAGATTCACTGTACATTGGACGTCAGCAAACACCTGAACCTGTTGCACCTGCTGAAACACAAATAAAAGATGTGTTTAGACAGAAGGGCCTGCCCCCCCGGCTTATGAGTGGGTACTACTTGAAGTGGAAACTCACTAGAGCATTCCTCTAGTCTGTAGTCACCACAGAGAAGAACTCTTCTGTCTTCTTGTCCTACAAAAAGAAAATCGCTGCACTCATTTTGCTCAGGGTTCTGGAAAGTTCACACTTTAAAAATAAAATCAAAATTGGAATGGTCAAGCCTCCTACAGGGTTGCCATCAATAATGAAAATGAGCATCATTGCTAATATTGCCAAGATTGGGAAAAGCCCAGTTTCAGAGTCTGGGTGTCCAGTGGTGGGTTTAAAAATATATGTGTATATATAACTGGTTATAAAAGCATTCTATGGATGACTTTAGTGGGATAAAAAAAAAAAACAAACTTTATGATGTTAGAAAATTAAGGGCTTTAACCCAGTATTAGCAAAATAAAAACCACCACAACTCAGTAACAGGACATCAGCATTACTGAAGTGAATGTCCAGAAGATTTGTGTAGTATCTAAATATACTCTTACATAGCTCTTTTACATGTTGCCTTTAGAATTACAGCAAAATATTAGTAGAACAATTTTATATTTAACTTATTTTTCCTGATAGACAATTCATTTAAACACATGAGCTAAAAATAACAGTAAATTACTAGCTGAGAACAGTGTGAATTTTCCCTTTAGCTACTTTCAGTAATAATACATGTATTCCTTAAAAATGTTTAAAGTTGCATAGTTCTAGCATTTTCTATTGGGAAAACAAAGCCAGAAGTTAGTTTTTACAACCATCCTTATTAAAAAGTCATTTGTGGAACTGATTAAAGCCAGTATCACACTTGCGAATGTTCCAGATCAAGAACGGAGATGCTTCTAAGGCATCCAAGTACATCTAATAGTGTCTCAAGCGTTTGGCAAACTTGTGCTTCAGGTTTAATAGGTACATGAAGTATTTTAGATTAGTGATGCATTTTTCAGTCATTCATCACTAATTTATGTCAATTACACTCAGCTTTTTGGAAAAACTTTTCTATCCTAATAGAATAAAAGTTGTTTTCATCACCCTTTATTGGCCATATGTCAAATGTCCCGACCCCCAACTGGTGTTATCAGTCCAGCTCCCACGTCTTCTCCTCTTGACCCATCTATACCTCCACGCTGCTCTCCCTCAGAGAAGGCAGACAGCCCTGAGCTATCTTCTCAACCTGCTGGACTAAACTTTTATTTAGTTTAGCATCCCTTTCCTCTTTATCCTCTTCTCTGCCTGTTTTCTCAAGTTTTGATTCTTGACCCCACAGGCTCCTATCTGTCTTCTTTTGGGTTCTTTTCTGTGCATCTAACATACACCAACTCTCTGTCTGAGTCTAATTCTCTGGCTTTCTCTGTGCCCTCTCCTCACCTCTGTTCTCAAACTTCTCTTTCCTACAGCTCCACCCCTGGCTTCCTCTCTCTCCGTGTCAACAATCCCCCTACTAGTCTCCCCCCTGTTTCTCTATAGTCTGTTCTTTTCCGGTTCTCTCCTGTCTTGCCTCCTCCCCATCTCCACTCTCCAAATACAGGTAGTCCTCAATCCTCCCTGAGCCCTCCTCTCTTGGTCCTCTTCCTTCTCCTTTTCTGTATATCTGTTTCTATATTTCTATTTAACTTGCTCCCAAGCTTCTGTTTGACAAATACAAAAGCACTGGAGCAAATAGAGATCACATGATGGGCTATAAGAAAAAGAAGATTCTGCCACTGAAACTTAGCATGAGCACAAGTTGTAGTGCTTGGAGGCACTGATTTAAAAAACCCAAAAAACAGCATGTAAAGTTTCACGTTTATGTCTTTCAACATATAAAATACTGGGCCATAGTACAAGGTGTTTCTGTCCCCAAACACTTAAAAACATTCTTAATGAAGGCATGATCAAACGAACTAGAGAGAATATTTTGCTTCTTTAAAAAAAATGTTTTTAAGATAGTCTATTTTGGGGGCGCCTGGGTGGCGCAGTCGGTTAAGCGTCCGACTTCAGCCAGGTCACGATCTCGCGGTCCGTGAGTTCGAGCCCCGCGTCGGGCTCTGGGCTGATGGCTCAGAGCCTGGAGCCTGTTTCAGATTCTGTGTCTCCCCCTCTCTCTCTGCCCCTCCCCCGTTCATGCTCTGTCTCTCTCTGTCCCAAAAATAAATAAACGTTGAAAAAAAAATTTTTAATTAAAAAAAAAAAAAAAACTAAAAAAAAAAAAAGATAGTCTATTTTGAAATTAAAAAAAAATCAAAAAGATTAAACCAAACTTTAGCCATTTTGAACTGCTACTTAAAAACAGGTGCCTGAGCCCAGACCTCTGAGGACTTCAGATGCTGCCACACCTTCACAGACAGGCAGAGCAAGACGCGTGCAAGCCCTACGATTTGTCAGGTGAGAGGAACAGCATGAGAGCAGGGTCCCAACCTCTTAAGATTCTCCAGCAGAGTTTTATATCAATGCAATTGCTGTCTCAGGGCTCAAGAACTTTTAAACTTGGTTGTTTAGTTTTCACTAGTCTGCCGAGCTGCCCAGTATGTGTCTCTGTAGGTGTGAGACCTTGAATACCTTCCAGTGAATGAAGACTTCACTTCCCCCATCACGGAATCCCCTCTTCACTCTCATAGGCCTCAGATCCTCTTTCTTGATGCCCCGTCTATGGACACGGCTCCTGACTGGTTTTTCTCTTCCTGGGGAGGCTGTCCAGTACTCCTTCTGTCCCTCAAGATGAAGCCTGAGCTAGTGCTTATATCACTGTGCCCCCTCTAGGGGACACTTCATCTGTAGGACTCAGTCCAAACCCCTGAATTTAGCATTCAAGGCCTCCAGAAATTTGCCCCAATCTATTTTTACCAATTTTATTTCCTATAAAATCTTATTACAAACCCTTTACCTTCAGTGGATTTGGCTTCCCAGGACCGTGCTAAGGTATTACCGTTTCCCTGTCTCGGCTCCCTCTACTCCCAATGCCCTAGATTTCCCAGCTCACGCCTTCCTTCAGCCTCTGACACTTTCTACTTCATTTTGCCTTGTTAACTGTCCTCAAGGCCCAGTTCAGCTCCTGTGTAAATGCTCTTCTGACCCTCACAGCATTTTCTCTTTTAGACCTAATGGTTCCTGTCACTTGTAATATAAATTTGAGTTTGCCTTCTTTGGTTATGTGACAATTTATGTGCATATGTCTACATGTTTTATCATTCAAGTGATATGGCAGAAAGAGCATGAACTTTGGTTGTTAGAAATACGTGGGTTTGAACCTCAGCTCTGCCCCTTTCTAGCTTTGTGAACTGTGTGCGTGGTTAAATCTCCTCAGGTTCTGTTTCTTCATCCGTGAAAAACTGGAATGCTACTTCCTTCATAGGGTCATAGGGAGGCTTACATGAGATAAAGCAGACAGTGCTTAGCACAGTGCTGGGCAAATTGTAAGTGTTTCACAAAAGAAACTTCCTTTCCTCATTTCTCCCCCAAAGTTCACCTAAAGGGCAAACATGTCTCATGTTTCGTTGTATCTTCACTTTACCATAATGCCTGTACAATATTTTTAAAATACACATTTAGTAAGACACTAACGACCAAACCAAAGTTACTAAAGTGAACTAAAACACCCACAATCTCTAAATTTATGTTAATATAGGAAGGTGGCCATCCTTGCTATTTGAATTGTTTTGAAATGAACTTCTAAAAGGAGGCAGAGTACACAGCAGGCATTCTGTTTTCTCTGAATTTACTGAGATCTTTTGGGGTACTTGGATTACACACGAGTTTTAGAATGGTGTTTATTTACAAAATAACAATTAGTGGCCACCATTTGTGATCCCTTTATCCTGTTTAACCACCGGATTAAACCTTTGGAAAGCTTCTCTCATTTAACCCTTTCAACAGTTCTCTAAGCAGGTAACTTGTTAGTTCTGTTGGTTAGATAGCAGCCCAGGGAAGTCCTCTAACATGCCCAGGAGGACATAGCTAAGAAGAGGAGAGCCAGGACTCACATCCAGGTCTGACTCCCAAGGTCAGGCTCTTAACCATGATGCTGAACAAAGTTTCCTGTGTATCTAGAGTACACTTGGCAGCTCTGGGTTTAGAATTTTCTTACTGACCTGGGTTCCATCTGTTTCTGTTTTGAGAAGGTCAGTGGATGAGAGCTGGTTGCAGTAGAGGCCTGTGTGTCTCAGTGCTGGATCATTTATCTATTAAAGATAAGTACAAGACCAAATTACAAGCAAGTTGTTTAAGTTGAAGACCAAATTCTTCAATGACAAATAATCTCACTGAGAGAAAATAGGAGTGCAGCAGGAATAAAGAGCTTAGCAATTTACTATATTGTTATAAGTCAGGACAGTGGTTCCCTTTGCAGGGGTGAAGAGTGACATGAAAGTAGCATGAGAAGAACCTCTGGGTGCTACTGATAATGTTTTGTTTCTTGATCTGAATGGTAGCTTTAAAGAAGTGTTCAGTTTGTGAAAATTCACTGACTTGTATATTTTTCTGTATATTCTATTTATACAATACTTCAATAAAAGTTATATTCACACACACACACACACACACACACACACACACACACACACACAAGTTAATTAGCAAACGACTTCTTTTTGTCATTAAGAGAAAATCAGATTAATCCGATTTATCCCCTGCCTGAATCAGCGAAAGAACTGGATAAAATATATGAAACGAAGGCACTCAAGACACTGGACAAACCCAATGAAGGAGAGTGACTCCTAAGAGCTGGGAAACAATGGAGATGAGTCCTATGATTGCCCCAGCCTACATCTACAGAGAATTTCCAGGCTGCAGCCAGCACGGGGACAGGGAACCCAGGCAGAACCCGGCAGGCTCCGTGAGTGGAGAAGACACAGCTGGAAGTCTGAGATGGTCAAGGCAGCTGGAATTCAGAGGTCAGAATATCAGAGGAGTGGGAGCTACACAGAGAGGAAGCTCGGAAGATCTGCAGAGGGACCCCTTGAGCCTGCAACTTAGTACTGATCTGTTAATGGCTTTTAGGGAACTACCCAAAGCAGAGGGAAGAGTCACCTGTGAAGATGCTGATGGGATAATTCCCAAAGGTCACACAGAGCTGGCAATAGGTCCCGACCTCACCAGCCAGAGTGGAAAATGTAATTCACATAGTATCAGGTAGTGTACTAGAAAGGCTTTGCTTCAGTAGTAAAGGAAAATGAGCCCTATACTAAATGCTGCTCTGGTCCCATTAAACAAAAAAGGAAGACTTGAAAGGACCAAACTGTTTCAAGTAACTTAACCAGTCCCAGAACAAAGCTCAAGAATGTAGGAGTATCAACGAGGTAAAATTCACATGTGTGGCACCCAATAAAAACTTACCAGGCATGCAAATTAGCAGGAAAATATGATCCATGATGAAAAGAAAAGTCAATCAATTTGAAACCAACCCCAAAATGATGCAGATGATAGAACTGACAGGCAAGAATATTAAGACAGTTATTATAATAACCATATTTCATATGTTCAAGAAGATAAGAGGAAAGACTAAACATGTTAGAGGTATGGAAGATATAAAAGAGGTCCAAACTGAACTTCTGGAGATGGAAAACAGAAAACCTGAGAAGAAAAATACACTGAATAAAACTAACAGATCAGACATTGCAAAAGAAAAGATTAGTGAATTTAAAGTTACAGCAATAGAAACTATCCCAAATCAAACACACAGAGAAAAAAAAAAAAAAATTGACCTTGCATCCCACCCCCTCAAATCTGCAAACCCAGGGAATCTGTGATCTGGGGGACAACTTCAAGTGGCCTACTTTGTATGTGTGTGTGTGGGGGGGGTGTGCATGTGTGGGGGAGTCTCTGAAGGAAAGGGGGGTGGGTGGTGACAGAAAAAATATTTGAAGAAACAATGGCCAATGTTTTTCCAAATTTGATGAAAATTATACATCCATAAATCAGGAAGCTCACTGAAGTCCCAGCACAAGAACCATGAACACAATCACTAAGGCATATGGTAATCAAATTGCTTAAAACCAGCGACAAGCAGAATAATCTTAAAAGCAGCCAGAGAGGGAAAAATCAATCGTGTACAGAGGAACAAAGATAAAATGCCAGCAGATACCTCATCAGAGACACTGCAGTGAAGCAACGTCTCCAAAGTACTGAAAGCTAAAACTAAAGCCAACCTAGAATTCAGGGAAAACTTTCAAAGATGAAGGTGAAACAAAAGCTTTCTCAGACATACAAGAGCTGAAGGAATTCATCAGCAGCAGACTATAAAAGATGTTAATGTTAAATGAAGACCTTCAGGCAGAAGGAAAACGATACCAAGCTGGAAATTTGGATCTACACACAGGAAGGAAGAATACTGGAAATGACTACATGGGTAAATACAGGAGCCTTATTTAAATTAAAAATATATATCTAGTTGTTTAAAGTAAAAGCATGTGGGGCATATGACATACGTAGGCACAATATGTACGATAACAACAGCAGAGGAAGGGAGAAATGGGAACAGCTGTGAGGTTCTTATATAAGAGGTCATATAATAGCGCTTGAAGGTACATGGCGATAAGTTAAAGATGTATGCTCTGAACTCTGAAGCAACTGCTAAAATAACAAAATGGAGGTACATATAGTTAATAAGCCAATAAAGGAGATAAACTGAATTAAAGTGTTCAATTAAACCCCCAAAAGGCAGGAGATGGAACAAAGAGAAAACAAGATGAGATATTTAAATTCAGCCATACCAATAATCACATTAAATGTCAATGGGCTAACCACTCCAATTAAAAGGTGCAGATTGTCGAACTGAATAGGAAAGCAAGACCCAGCTATATAAGAAATACGCTTTAAGTGTAATATTCTTTTACCTAATTCATTATATTTTTCATTATTTTGTTTTAATCTTCTGGAGATAGTGAAAAATTCTAATAACTGAATAATAAGGACAAGAACAAGAAACAACACTATTTAGGTCTTCTATTTTGCTATAGGAAATAAATCACTAAGTTATTGATTTTTTTCCCTGCTAAACTCTTAAGGGACTTATTATATAAAGTGGGGGGATGAGGAATGGAAAGTTAAAAAAATTTTTTAATAAAAAATATTCTATAGAAAAGGTAATCAGTGTTCACATGTTTGTAAGATTTGCTATAAATTATAGCTACATGGTCACAGTCTAGTCACCAGTCTCCTTTGTGGTTGCTGAAAATGAGAATAGCAACTATAGGCAGTTACCCCAATGACCTTAAACATCATTTTGAATTTAGTCATTCTATCCTTAAAAATCTTCAGGAGGCTCCAGGATAAACTCTAAAACATTCAGATGGCTTGCGAGATCCCTAAAAAGCTTACCACATAAATTCTGCTTTAAACATAATATAAATGTCCCCTTAACATTCATTACACTTTCAACCTCTATTCCTGCCTAGATTATGCTGTGGCAACCGGTCTTGAATATTCTTTTCTATTCTCTTTCTTTAGGCAAATCTTCCAAGAAGCCTTTCCTAATTAGGCGTTTTTCTTTTAAACTCTCAGTAGTTAATTGTACATCTTCCTAATCTGACATAAATATGTATGGCGCTAGGGAGGCCCATCTCTTACACAGAGGTTTTGTCCTATTATTCAACTGTTCCTTTGTTAATGTCGTGTCTCCCCAACTTGTCAGTATTATCTCCCACAGAACTACCTTTGTATATAGTAAGTAGTGAATAAATGTTTGTTGAACTGAAAGGGAAAAATGAAGAAAATGTGTTCAGAAGATAAAGGGGTATGCTCCGAGCCAATATATTATATGTATCATTTTATAATAAATCTAAAACACTAAAATCTCTTGAGACTAAAATCTTAGGAGGTCTGTCAAAATTTCCACTGTGTATCTTAAGAGAGGCTAACTCAAAAGACAGTGGGAAAAAAATAAAGAAGTGCATCTTCTCCCCCCTAGTGTTACTGAGAAACAATTAACACACATCACTGCGTGGTGTGGTAATTTCTGACAAGCAACTGCGAACATACCTGATTTTCCCTGGAATAACGACTCGTGGTGTGTGGTGTGCATGCCAGCTGTGCCACTTACCTGCTCAGGGCACACAGTGTTCATCCCTGGCATCTGCAAAGAGCTCATCTGCATCTGGCCCATCATCGGGTTCATGCTCTGAACATTTGTGTTTCCACCTGCCATGGACACGGTGATGCTCATATTGTTGTACACTCCGGGCTGCGCAGGCGTGGGCTGGCTCTGGACAGCTTGACTGAACACGCTGTTAACTCAAAAACAATCCCAGTTACATCCACGGATTGTGAACGTGGGGATGATGTGACTGGACTCTGTTTCTTAATTATTAGATAAAATGCGATAGAAAATATTATACGTTTTTAAATGACGTGTAAGACTTTATCTTACTACAATATATAAAGACTGAGTATAATTCGGATGAATTTTGAACTCTGCACAGAGGATTTAATAACTACATAAAGCTCATTTTAAGTGACAATTATCTGGCCTTGTATCCGAGTTGTTAAGCTCCAATTAGCTGAATAAGAAAGTAAGTTGTGAACATAAGTAAATCTTCAAGATAACTGAAGTTTACTCATTTAACCATCAAAACCATTCTAAAATTTGTTACGCCATTTTATATTCCCAAATAGAGAATGTTCTATTTAAGCAAAATGCCTGGGGTATATATCAATCCTCAATAGATGCTCATTGAAAAAATTAACAAATTCAAAGATGGCATTCTTGTATTGTCATTGCTTGTATATTTTCTTAGACTTAGCATTTTGTTTCACTTATTCCTTGTCTCTCTGCTCGTTCATGGCACATGGCAAGCACTCGGTAAATATCTGATGAATAAGTGACTTATGGACATAGGTTATTACTCGGTGTTGTCAACTGATGAGGTTTAGACTGCTTCTTATTTATGGATTTTTCTGGGATCTACACCAATGTTTTTCTAACTGTAGTCCAGAGAGCATCTGCAAGAGAATTCCCTGGGACTTGTTGAAAACTGGGAGGCAGCTATGCTTACCACTATAGCACCAAGGCCAGGACTTATTAAAAATTGAGACTCCCAGGCCTTACTCCAGCCCTAGTGAATCACAGTTTCTGAGGATGGATACAGAAAGTTGCACTTCTAACTATTTATGCACATTAAGACTCAAGGGACTTTATTCAGTGTTCTATAGCTTGCCGTCATTTCTCAAAGTTTCAGCTTCTGGCTGCTTTCAATATGCTATAAACTAAGAGGAATATAACCAGATATATTTATTTGGCAAATGTAAATGTTTAAAGACTTCACAGGTCTTCTCAGGCCTAAAGACAGCTTTATGTCTTTTCTAGAAGCAAAATGCAAAGGCAATTATGTTTTTCAGAGGGCTTGTTTTATGGACTTGCTTCTTCATGGCCTCGTTCTGGACTTTTGTTACACCAGAGATCTTAAATGTTAAACCAGCTTCTTCTCCTAGCTGGTAGAATAGTATGGAATAAACTCCCAAGTAAATACATCTGGAAACTTTATATTTGAACCCCAAAATTCTAAATGATACAGATACACACATCTAAAGGAAAATAATGTGAGTTGTGTCTTTTGTAAGTTCTACAAAACATCAAATGTTTGATGATTATCATCAATTGTTAAACAATAAGCTGCTGGTAAAATTCCACCTATTTTAATGTTAATTCTGGAGAATTTGATTTCTAAAAATCATTTACCCCATCAATTGCTTATCTATTCCTTGCTAGCTCCTGCGAGGTAAGCAGGATGTACTGACATTTATAGTTTCTGGTAGATTAAGGTAATCATACTAAAATTAACAGGCCAAGAAACAGCCTATCCATCATGTCTGAAGAAAAGTAGCAGATTTTCCCCAAGTAATTATAAAACACAAATGCTCAAAGAAAATTACATGCCCAGGAAATGGTCAATAATACATCTTTGAGCCATTAATGTCTGTACAGTGTGTATGCTTGTACAGCGTCCCCACAACTAAAGGTGAGGAAAAACCTATTAGCTTGCTGCCCATTTTCTAATGAGAACATTTCTGCCGCAGACAACGCTCATTTGTCAACGGATACATAAATCACCACTGTGGAGGCTCAAGCTCAGGGCTATGTAAGCTAATGCCTGCAGAAGCTTCAAGGGCTGCAATGATGTCATTCTTAGTGAAAAAAAGTTTAGGATTTAATTTCTTTTCACATTTTATACTTGGGACTTATATTCACTTAAGTTCTTTCAGACTGCTCTTGCCAATAGTTCCATTTCAGTTTCTTCCATTATGAGAAGAAGCCCACGCCCTTCTGCAGCATAACTCCCTGTTCTAGGCCTCAGAGGGACCGTAGGCTTCACTGGCACCTTAGGCCTCCCTCCCTCTGCTTTCCTGGCCACCCTGGGGGCAATTACTGCAGTTTCCTTAGGCTAGCCCCAGGTGTTTGGTAGCCCCTAAATCATGGTGCAGGGGGGAAGGTAAGGATGAAGACTTCCGGCCTGAAGTGGCTTCCATAGATACAGGTATTAACAAGCAGGGAGGCGCTCCAGGTCAAATAAGTCTAAAAAGGAAGGGTTAAACAACAGGCCTTCCTAGCCTTTAAAATGCTAATAAGTGCTAGGAATCTTCAGAGCGCTTAGTGTTACACAGAAACCTGCACCGTTCCAGGACAAAGAGCCTTGCTTTAACCCTTTCTTTTTCTTGCCACCGGAGAGATAATGAAAAAGAATCACATTACACTGTCTCGGAACCCTATTACATCATTCTACTAAAAGAGTCTTTGTTTTCACGTTTTACTCCTCTCACTCCTGTCACCAAGTGGACTCTCGGTAACTCGACAGCAAGGGCAGCTCCCCCCTGCTCCTTGCGGTGTCTTGCACTGTGCAATACAAACAGGGAGTGGTCGCAAAATACACACGGACTGTGTCAACTGATACGCTTTCACACGTGAAGCAAATAAGCAAGTGCGAATGCTTGAAGAGTTGATCTGTTTTCTTCTTCAAGTGATTTGGCAAAGTCGAAGTTCACAAAAACCGTGAAAGTACAAGAAAAATTCAAGTCCACTTTGAATCTGAATTCAAGAAGTGACCGAGGCAGGGGAGGGAATCTCTGTATCCACTCACTCAACAGATGTACATTAAGTGCTCACCTGTTCTAAAGGATGGACATACCCGAGTAACAAAAACAGAGTCCTGGCTTTTAGGATGGTTATATTCTAGTTGGAGGAGACAGACCATAAACAGACAGACTAACACACAATATGTGTGGTGTTAAGTACTAGGAAGAGACATACAGAAGGCAAGGAGGGGATCAGGGGGTAGAAAATGCTGTTGTTTTGGAAATGAAGGTCAGGGAAGTTTCATCTGGTGACATTTAATATCTATGTCTAATAAGGTGACATTTAAGGAGAGACTTGAAGTGTGACAGCGCAAACCATGTGGCTACTGTGAGAAGAACATTCCAGCAGAGGGACTTAAAAATGCAAAGGCCCTGAGTTTGCAATGTACTTGGCACACGTGAGCACCAGAAGAATACACAGACACCAGTGTGGCAGACTGAGTGATGGCAATAGCAGCTGAGGTCAGAAGGTACCCAGGAACAAGATCACGCGGGCTTCACAGGCCCTATATTGTACTTGGAGTAAGTTGGTGAGTTCTGAGTAATGGACTGACATACTGCTCATGTTCTGAAAGCATCACTCTGGCTACCATGCGGAGATTACACGGCAGGGGAGTGAGGGTGGAAGCAGGAGACAGAAGGCTACTGCACGGTCCCGGAAAAAGATGGTGGCTCACACTAAAGAGTGGGACGGGTAAGAAGTGAGAGCTGCTAAGAAGCTGATGTGATTTGCTGATGGGATGTTTGATGTGGGATGTGAGGGAAAGAGAAGAGGGTTTCTCCTGAATAACTGGAAGAATGAGGTTGTAGTTTACGGAGATGGGGAAAGGTAGGAGAGGAGCTTTGGGGAAGAAGACCGTGGTACGTTTTAGATGCCTATCAGATTTCTGACTGGGATGTTGACTGAGCAGCTGGATGTACACCATGGTGTTCAGGGGAGAAGTCGGGGCTGGAGATTTAAAGCGGGGGGAGTCAGGAGCATCAACATGGGCATTTATAGCCGTTAACAGTGGATGGCATAACCAAGGGAGCAAGTAGACAGAATGAGCTCTGAGGATTTCAAGTGGAGGTCAGGGAGATGAGGAAGATCCAGTGGAGGACACCAAGAGATAGGATGAGAGTCACCTTTCTCAAGAGAGAAAGCTGTTCCAGAACCCAAATGAAGAAGGGGCTTCAAGAAAGAATAAATGCTCAACTATATCAAATGCTACCAACGATCCCTGCATTTGGCATTGTAGAGGTCTTGCCGACCTTGACAAGAATACTCTGGAAAAGCAGCAGGGATGAAAGCCTGACTGGCCAACAAGGAATGGAAGGAGAGGTAGTATTAGAGTACAGTCTTTCAGGGAATTTAACTGTAAAAGGGTGTGGACCTGTCAGCCGGACCTTGTTTTTACCAAGACACATTTAAGTGCTTAGGTGTAGGTATGGAGCAAGAGTTTAGTTGGGTTTATAATCATGGACCATGGACTCTAAAGTGAATTTAGGAAGCTGGGATTAGAACACATTAGGAGACTAACTTCTTCCTGCAGGTTATATAGATGGTTCCATTTCTACCTAATTCACACACAGTCCTCACTAAGAGCTACGCAGTTCTCAAAAGAGAAGATTTCCTCTCACCTTTCAGTGAACTTTAGGAGAATATGGTCTTAAGTTTTCAACTTTAACTGCCTTACTTATTATGTTGTCAGATCAAACGGCTTCCCTGTCATTAGAACCAAGACACAACCTAATTAAAACCCTTATAAAACTCAAGTGAAGTGTGAAAAGTTCAGCAGCCAGGATTTGGGGGGAAAATGACATCCGTGAGATAATTCTAAGCAGAATGGGCAAGGTGAGGCCACTGAAAATCTAGAGATTCAAAAAGCTGGATGAGGCAGAATGGCCTTAGAAGCCTCAAAACCTTTGCTGTTGCTATGAGATCTTTCAAACGTGCTGAGAAGGGTGAAACCTGTATGCTCACTATTCAGCTCTAGTGAATTCTGATGTTTTGCCATTCTTGCTTTAGATTTTCAGGATTTCCTAAAGTAGGCTCCATGCCCAGCATGGAGCCCAGCGCAGGGCTTGAACTCACGACCCTGAGATCAAGACCTGAGCTGAGATCAAGAATCAGATGTTTAACCGACTGAGCCACCCAGGCACCCCTAAGACTTTTAGGATTTTTAAGTGTTTTTATAAAGAATGACTTTTTTTTTTTTTTTTTTTTTT